TATTTTTAATCTCGCGGCTTTAGGATTCAGTGATTTCACGAAAATCAGGCATGCGATGGATTCAGTAATAACCACATTAAAAATAATTTACTAAATTTAAGTTTAGGGCAACACTTTACTAATAATAATTATTTTATTTTTTTCTATATCCGTATTTATAGTTTCTACTGATATAGAGAACTCGTATAATGCAGAGTTTCTTGAAAATAACGGATTAGCAGTCACTTCAAAACTTATGGATTTGACCCAAGAAGTATTTTCAGAGCAGTCAGATAAATCTACGGAAAAACAGCCACCGGTTTTCAATGATTTCGCCTCAAAACGAATTAAAACTCTTAGTACAAGTGAAAAAAAAGCACCTATATCATTAGATGGCCTAGCTTTGAAAGCAACCGATACAAAAGTAAATACACCTATGCTCAATCTTATGAAGTGTCCAACATTCCCGCCGATTACAAATCAAATGCAAAGCCTTACATGTACAAATACTGAACCCAGTATCAGTATAGCTCCGAATGAGGAAATTGATGATTGTGAAAATTGTATTGTTTTGTCGGACGATGAAATTAATTACTCTATTTGGAAAGCGGATATGAGCAGAGCGCGAAATGAGGCAAAATGCGTTAACACGATATCCGAAATAGGGAATAGCAGAAAAGAATATGAAAACTCGAAAAACTTTTTCATGGAAGGCGTTGAGTATATGGCGAATAATACGAAGAGAAAAAGCACTTCCAATATAAATTCATTTACATATGATGTAGATCGCGAGGGATTTCATGTACCATTTTCATCAAAATTATCTGACCGATCTAAAGAATTGCTTGAGTTTGACATTTTAGATAATACATCTGAACTGCATACTTATACCCCTAAAATTCTCAAAACTTCGCAAGGCGCAAATATAAATGAAAATTTAACGCCGTCTCAAAATGTACCAGTTGGATTGGGTGAATTACTAACAGCCGATATGAGATTCAAGAAGTTGAATGAAGAAATTTCGTCCACAAATATGCTTTCACATGCAACTTTATTAAACGTGGCTGAATATACTCCAGACGAATATGAAATAGCTGGTCGAATATACACAACCCGGATCGTTACCGGCCCCAAGCCGGACTTTGATCAACAAAATGAAGCGGAAATATTGAAGCAACTTTATGGATTTGGTATAAAACCCTTAAAGCGTAAACAAGCTGTAAAGATTTTGGAGTATATTTACAATTCAACACATCCTGTGGTACTAGCACAGACTATTGAATTGAGCTTCAGTTCCAAAAATAAAAATACCTCAAGTGATGCAATCAATGTAGAACTTGATGGACATATTGGTCGTGCTACATCTCATATTGTTTCATCGCGAAATAAATTGCAATTGAGCGACTGCCTCTGCCTTAATATGCTGCACTGTACGAAAGAATTGCTTATGACCTTAGAATACGAGGACTACGTGTTTCAAACAAATGTCACGAAGAAGGTGGGTTGTGGAAGTTTCATACTGACATATACATACATATGTATATTATTTTTATATACAACGGGCGACGAATAACTGTTACACTTTTTTTTCAAAAATAGAAGGGTCTTTTATAGATTTCGCGAAGAATATATTTTATTGTTAATTTTCCACAGATTTTACTTTAAATTTATTAATTAGCTCTAAAATTTTAATCTGTATTTGCATTTGCCAGCTGTGTAAACTTTGGAAGATAAGTATGTGGGGCCCGCAAGTCTTTTACAGGTGTATTTTTCCTTAAGGCAGTGCCACACGATTTGGCATTTGCCCAAAAACTTGGTGCAAATTGTATTCCAATCGTGTGAATGCACAAATATTTTTCTTTATCCCAATCACGAAAAATAATTTCCTAAAATTTTTCAATAGAAGTCCGCTGTATTGTAGCAATCATGATAAAAACAATACAAGGTAAAACCATTGAGAGGCAGTCTGACGTTTGCCAGCAATATAATTTTAAATATCAAAAAAAATACACCTACAGCCTGCCAAACACACACCTACAGCCTGCCAGGCAAAACGGTAAGAAGAAGAGTTACTTTACTTATGGAACTGTACGATGGTAATGTTTTTATGATGGTACCAAAAAAATAAAAAACCTGTATAAGGTTGGTCGAATGAATGGCCGTCCTGGTCACCAGTTCCGAGAGTATTCGATTTCTGGGTATGAGGCCTTATTTTGCACAAAATGGGAAGATATGGAATAAATTAACCGACGAAGACTTGTGTGCCGATTACGCTTTTCTCTCAAAGTGTTAACCGGTGGTAAGCCCAAGCAAAGGTTAAAATATAAGAACTAATTAATAAAATTAATGTATAATCTGTATAAAATTAACAATAGAATTCTTTTTTTTCGCCAAATCTATAAAGGGCCCTTTTATTTTTCAAAAAAACCTGGGTAACAGCTATTTGTCCCCCTGTAAATATGTAATTAGATAGCACGAAAATTATAGATCGCAGAAATGTGTTTTATTTGTACTAAAATATTCTAGACTGAATATTTGAAAATGCAAGGATTAAAAGCTAAGAGAAAATAAATGCATACATTACACCTTACCAGTAAAAAGAATTTCAACCTTCTAATCTAAAGTATTTTTGCGACGCAATTTGGGAAAAAATTTTCGCCGAACGCAGGGGCCACCTTTTTACATTTTTCGTCATATCTTCGGTTTTGCAGTCGATCTCAAAAAAAAAAAATTGTTTTTTCCGAAAGTAGGGGTGGCCTTTTTACAGATTTCGTCAAAACTTTGGCTTTTAAAGTCGGATCTTAAAGTATGATATATCGATGTTCTTATCTTGGGGAGAACATTGTTTTGTTCCAAAGTTTATTGACCTCAGTTCTTATAATTCTAACGTACCTCCCTAATGTCGGAAAATTAGAGCTCACTAAAAATCATTAAACTTTTGCTAAGGAAGTATTTCTATTATTCCAGTAGAACTACTTTAAAACATATTTTTTATTGCCGACTGTAGGTGTTACACCAAAATGTAAATTTTTTTCCGAAATTACAAAAATACTTTAGACTCACTGGTGTAAGGAGACAGTTTCTTGCTTGTTTGTAAGGTGGTGTGGTCTAATGTACATACTATTTTATAATAATAATAATAGTAGATTGGCGCTTACACATATGTTAGTGTTTGGCCGAGCTTCTCCTCCGATTTGTATTTTTATTGAAGAGAAACAGAGCTTTCCGATCTAAAAATATTGATTTTCAAGAATTCTATAGATACTATTTCTACGAAAAAATATGTCTTCCCCATAATACATGGAAAGCGTTGAACGCTTCGAGCGAGCTCTAAATATTTTTTGATTTCAAAATAAATAAATAAACAAATGTTTATTTTCTTCGATATAGAACAATCCTAGGGGGTGAGAGCAATAAAATTCGGACTTTACTTTTTCACATGAATATTTGGACAACCCTAATGTACATACAGTGACTCAAACAAGTGACCACGTGTTGATTTTTTTGTTATTTACAATGTTTTCCTAGTATTTTTTTGTTACTTTTCTATAAAAATATTGTCCAAGCTTTATCTATGTACATATAGCGAATTCACTATATACATATGTAGTCGTATATATCGTCGTTTAAAGTAAAAAACCGCCAGCTTGCTTAGAGTTAGAAAAGACCTCTCCGAGCCGTTTCTTACCAAACATAGTTTCAGACGAAGCGATTCCTCTTCATGTGATTTCTTTAATCTTATGGAGAAGATAATAAGAGCCGCTCAGGCACAATTTTTTACAAGAGCGTACAATTGCTGGCGTATGCCGATGACCTTAAACATCACCGGTATCAAGAACCGCCTTTTCCAAGTTGGATAAGGAAGCAAGGCGATTGGGTCTGGTGGTCAACGAGTACAAGACGAAGTATCTCCTGTCATCAAACTAAATTTGCGCCTTGGCACCCACGTCACAGTTGACAGTTATAATTTCGAGAAAGTGGAGAATTTCGTTTACTTGGAAACCAGCATTAACAGCGTTAATAATGGCAGCATCCAAATTCAACGCAAAATCACTCTTTCTAACAAGTGCTACTTTGGATTGAGTGGGCATATCAGGAGTACAGTCCTCTCTCGACGTACGAAAACCACACTCTATGAGTCACTCATCATGCCCGTGCTGGTATATGGCGCAGAATCATGGATAATGGCAGCATCCGATGAGGCGGCTCTTAGAGTATTCGAAAGAAAGATTTTTCGGAAGATTTACGGGCCTTTACGCTTTGGCGACGGCGAGTACCGTAGGCGATGGAACGATGAGCTGTATAAGTTTTACAACGACATGGACATAGTGCATCGAATTAAAATACAACAGCTCCGCTGGGTTGACCATGCCGTTCGAAGGGACTCCGACACTCCAGCTCTATAAGTATTTAACTTGGAACTCGCTGGTGTTAGCAGAGGAAGAAGGAGACCCCCAAGTCCAGGAAAGACCAAGTGAAGAAAGACTTGGGTTCATAAGAAGAATGAGACAATGAATCTTCCAGGTATTTATGGAAGTACTGTTTATTTTGCGCTATTGCATTAACGGTGGTAGTAGTGGATCGTCCCAACGTTGCCTTTTAGCAACACCTATATTTACACATGCCCCAGACTCAGTAGGTTAAACTTATTTGGTGGATATATGCACAGGAAGTTAATATGGCATTTTGGCATCATATTTAAGTCCATATGAAGAAAAAAAAACATTATGCGTGTCACCACTGCCGTCATTTCAAAAGTGGTTAAAATTTGGCCCTATTTTTTACATGGAAGGAGAAAAGACTTATTGCAAGTAAAAACTTTTTTTTTACCAAAATAGTAAAATATAAAGGCTGCCATTTGGCATAATCTATTGTGAGGTTTCTGCAGCTTATCTACTTTTAAAAATTTGTTAGTTTTGCTGTTGCGAACACGCAACGGTGTTACGAAATGGGTTAAAACTTCAATGCAGCCGACCCCTGTCTATTCACGCATACACTTATCACACCGTGCGACAAAAACAAAAAAAAATTTCGAAACACATGAAGGAATCACGAAACTATGCGTCAAATATAGTAAAACTGTGTTTTTAGTTTTTTTTTCTAACGTCAGGATTTTTTTTAAAGGACTGTAGTTCCAAAAATTATTTAAAACATTCCTACCAATATAGAAAAACAGTATGGGTACTAAATGAAAGAGAAAAATCCGTAGAATTGAAAACCATTAAAATTTTTTGGTTCGCAAGGAGGAATAGATACTGAAAATGTCGTTTTAATTAGTTTTATTTTCTTAAGCGAAACAAATTAAAAAGACGAAATTCGAGGATGGTGTCGAGTGCATATTAGTCCTTAACATATAATTCTTTCGAAAATAAATATTGTAAAATTTCAACGATATTCAATGACAAAATGTTAAAAGAACATTTTCAATACATTCACTTGAAAATAAAATTTCGTAAAAGTGCTACGAAAATCTTTCGTAGTGTTGCTTTTTGTACAATGTACAAAACTTTCGTTCATAATACGAACACATTTTTCACAACGAAACAAGATTTTACAAACCATACGTAAATATAGCGAAAGGACTTTCGTAAGGCATTTTTTCAGTACAATTTACGAAATCTTACGTTTATTTTACGAAACACATTCGTAAAGAACTGAACAAATCTCTGTACGAATAATTTTGTATATTGTAGGAAGGCATTCGTAATATTTACGTTTGGTTTTAAATTTACGAAATCTACAATTCTGTATTCGTACAATTTAGTTAATACTTTGGTATAAAGTACTAATGCAGAAACATGTTTTTTAAATTCGTACTACATACGAATATTTTCATACAATATACTCAATTACCGGCAGTTTAATATTTCATCATATTTTTTGTATCGCATGTTATTGCGGAATTAATTGTTGGCTGCTGTGAAACGTATAATATAACTTTAAACGTTTTAAAAAGGGATTTGCTGGATACAAAAACAATACAAAATTAAATATTAAAGTTGTGGATATACTATGCTTTTAAGCATACAACGTGGGACTTGATAAATAGGCAATTTCATCAGTTACCTATCAACGGCAAGCCTAAGCCAGGAGAACTACTTAATGTAATTAAAAGTAAGTACATGTATGACTTTTCACTGAAACTTGCTTTTCAGACGCCTTTTAATTTTTCTTTAATTTATAGTCGCCAAGGAAACAAACATCGATGAAGCTGCGAATCTGTCAAGTGCCTCTACATAAAAATATTATAATGTTTAAGAAAGTAAAACAGTATTTTTTATATTCTCTCATATTTTATATCGTATTATATTTAGTATTGTTGAGTCTTATAGTTTAACACTTTGCATCAATATACTTTACTATGAAGCCTAAGCAATAAAAAATATGTAGTATAGAACCTATTCGTATGCATATAAATAAAAGATTTAAGTTTTATGATAGTAAAATAACGTTTTTTATTAATTCTAAACCACAGTGTAGTCAGAAAATTCTTCTTCT